GCCCTGGCCTCAGAGCCGCAACATTCGTAGATCATGGGAACGATGGGTGTCTATGCATATGTGTGCAGGTATACCATAAACTGAAGATTGAACCTTGTTATTATATGTAGCATGGAAACTAAACGTATCTATATGTCGCGCATACACATTTGGTCTGTAGTTGCAGCATGGAAAAGTCGGTTGAGGCCGGAACGCGGGGCGGTGTTGCAAACGGCAACCCGCTCCGGGCTGGTGCCTGGGTCACGGAGTTCGGCATGCGGCCCCGAAAGAGTTGCACAGCCCAGGAGGACAGCAAGGTGAGCCGATATTGGTAAGGCCGGCACACGCCTTGGCACCTCGTACGGGGACCGCACCTGACTTACGGCAGAGCTGCAGAGCTCGAGCGATGTGTCCAGTGCTATTCTGCAAGAGGCAGAGGCCCCGGCCGAAGTCGGGGTCGGCGGAAGACTGGGATTCAACGTCACGACCCGCCGCACGCCGTGAACTGAGCAGCGGGTCGTTTGCGCGAAATGAATCGATTCTCGCATCTGCCAAACACAATGCAAGCTCCGACGACCCCTGCAGCCAGGCAGCTTTGCTGGGTGACCTGGCTCATAGCCAGTGTCACATCACATGCACACGTAAAGCATCAACAGCACAAGGCTCGAGGGAAGTAGGTGGTTCATGGTGGTTCTGGCGTCTGCCGGGCCTTTGTCACGACCGCCCCCGTCTGCGTTTTGACGAAAAGAGGCGGCCTCGAGGGCGCGCTTGCCGACATCCGCACATCGAATTCCGAGCTTGAGACGCCCCCGGACGCTTTGGGAGAGCAGTTTGATTGCAACTCCGAGGCCAAGGCAGAACCCGCGCTGGGCCTGAGTCTCTGTGCTCATTTCCGAACCAGGCTCATGCATTACCCTTCCGGGGCCCTGCGCTGCCACAACTCTATGGAACCATGCAGCAATAGTCTGGGGCACCAACTGACCTCGCGGCTCACCTGGACTTTGGTACCACTAAGGAAACCAAACAACGAAATGTGGGAGAGGGGGGCAGGAAATAGCAGGAACCTGAAGTAGTTCGCTGAGCGCCGAGCCACAGTCACAGTCCTTCCCTCCCGTGGGGTCACCATGGAGGCTAGCTGCTTGCTACTGTCTCCACTTCAAAAGTTGGAGCCAGCAAGGCTTCGTCGGCGAAGCACCATCGCAGGGCGTTGATTCATGCGACCTTGCCAACTCGCTCCTTGCCGACTGAGCTCTAGTGTAAAGCAATCCTGCTTTTCAAGATTCAAACGTGTCGACGAGGTGATGCCAACATTTCTGGCCGACTGCTTCTCAGCACTTCCCCGTAAACAGTAAGTTGAACGCCGCTGGTTGCATCTTGCGAACTGCACTTCGCAAATTCATGAAGCAACGTGGACAAATAGATAAACAAATAAAGAAAACAAAGAACGAGCAAACACAAAACAAATGTAGTCTGAGTTCGTTGAGCGACGACCGACGCTGCTACATCTGAGGCTAGCGGTTCGGAATAAGCCTTTGATAGGGGTTTGGGGCGACGAAACTTGGTAAGGTAGCTGTCTCGGCAGACCCACAACATGCACAGTTGGCGCGAGCTGTTCGGGCTTTTGGTTTCGGGGAGATGCTTCAAAGCCACATACCAGACGAACCGCCGCGTGGGTGCGCGAGCTGGGAGACGAACCCACAGACACCTCGGCGAGCAACCGGAACACATAATAACAGCCAAGTATGTCAATAGCAGTAGCAAACAATTTCACTAAAATTCTGGGTCTCGCCGCAAAAGACTCAACGAATATTTGACGAGCACAGATCTCTTCGTTAATGGACTGGCAGTGACTGGCAACGGCGTGCCCCATCATCGCCTGCGAATGGGATGCAACATGGTGCACGCCTATGGTTGTGGTAATCTCATGCCGCGCGGATTCGGCAACAGTGCCGTGATGGAGGTATTCTGATTGTTCGGCGTATCCCAAGCTTTGGCAAGGGCAGATTTGACCAACGAGAATGCCTCGAATGTTTCCACTACCAGTACTTGACGAACTTCCAGCGACAGCCAGCATCGCATGAGGGGCCAGGGCTATGTGCACATCTGCAAACTAGAAAATAAACCTGTTGAGCTCTTGCGTCCTGCGGTGCGACAGCCCAATCCCCGGCAAGTGCAACAGAAAATATCCATGAGGACATCTCCTGGTTCAATACCAAGTGCAGCAGCTGTGGGACGCAGGCAGGGCACTACTTGCTGTTTGCGCGCACCTGCTCGATTTTTTACTTCTCCGTCACATGGCTCGGTTCTTGCCAGCAGTTTCTAGATGCACAACCAAGGAAAACTCAAGACAAGCGAATCTGTTCCGTACTCGTGCATTCGACGTGGCATTCAGCACACGAGCTCATCACACTGGAAAGGCCAAGAAGGTCCACTCCCTGACTGTGCGAAGTTTACGATGCAAGCACTTCTGCAACCGTCGACTGCCGAGTTATAGAGCCTGTGTTCCCTCAACAGGCTCACAAGATTTACAGGGTCGCAGGGTGCAGCCGGAGATCATGCTTCAAGTGGGCAGTGGCGGCCCTTCACCATTCGTGCACACCAGATGATGGAGCATGTACCCTGCTGCACCAGGGAGTCAACAAGTGCTCCTAAGGAGCACTTGTGCAAACTCTTGCTCAAAGGAGTTGCCAGGCTCCGCCTAAAACCTGAGTCCAGGAGTTATGGCGTGTTCCTGGCTCCGCAGTTTTCGCTGAGAGGTCGGCTGAGTAAAGCCGGCCGATGTGCCGGACATGAGCTCACGAGCTGGCCCAGTCCCTCCCATCCTCACGGCATCCAAGTGGCATCAAACATCCTTGAAAAAACTGCTCGCCGTGGGAGCCTAAACCTTTCCTCTTGCAAGGCTTCTACGGTTCCGGGGTCCACACCATAAGCCGGTGGGTTGATCTCCGTGCACTGGGTCCTGCAGCACGGCGCTAACAGCTGGTCGTGCCATCGCATGCCATCGCCCTGGCGCGACCGAAGTCTGTCGACGTCTGACCCAGTCGTTGTAGAGCTTCCACAATATGCGTTGGACGAGGTTACAACGGTTAGAATCGAATCCAGATTCCTGCTCCGGATTCTTGGTGCCTTTCGTGTTCCGACAAACTGTGTTGTATTGTCTTTGCATCGGGCTACTCCAGTGAGACGTCTTCCACAGATTCGACTTTAGGTTTGCGTCGCGTTGAGTGCTCGTGAGAGCCGAGAGCGTAGCCCCTCAAAACAGCGCAGGCGCTGCATCTCCGGCGGTCCCCTTCTGTCAGCTCTGTATCAGCAAGAAGAGGTGCCGGTGCTCGCTTTGGCCCTGTCAGCCTTGGCATCACACATGATGAGCTTGGCAACACGGCAGAGGCAGAAGCCGCGGACCACTTGAAGCACTGCCAAAAAGAGATGACGGCGCAAATGGCGACCTGAGCTCGCCAAACTGGGCGGTGATCCCATGTGGCTTCTGGTGCATGCAATGTGCATGCCTCAGGCTAGGGCCAACCCGCCAAGAACCATGCCGAACATGGGCTGAGATTCGATGTCCATGACCTCCTTTTCCACACGAGGGATGCTTTAGGAAGCGATGCGAAATACAAGCAAGGGTGCCTCCAGGATTCCTGTTCCATTGGTTCCATTTGATGCATTGAAGGAGCGGGAGGTTGCATTGTCCTGGTGTGCAAAGTGCAGCGCTTTAATCTGCGAAAGCTGCAAGTCCATTTACTCTTGCAGGGCTTGCCTGGCCAGTGACTTTCATCCCCACCTCCCACATACAAGCTTGCACGACTCTTTCCGGCTGCAAGAAAATAGGGGTGCTCGCAAATCGGGCCTTTGTGCTGTTGGGGGCAGCATCTGCATCGCCGCTCGCAAAACGGACAGCAAGGAGGAAAGCGGCGACCTGGGAATGCAAATGCATCCTGGCACAACCCTGTCAGTCTTCTGCCTTGACGCAAGTCAGGTGATCCTGCAGGCACTCCAAGACTCCGGCTGCGAACTGTGTTGATGACATCGGCTTCATGAGAAACTAACTGGAATCGCAAACCTTCGCCTTGCAACAATACCAATCTACTGTCGTTGAATTTTAGTTCATCATTGTCCCACAGAGGACATGGAGCTTCGAGCCAAGCCACCAGGAGCATCTCTACCATTGCACTCCGGCTTCATCAAACGTGAGACCATAGGAAGTCAACCTGTGTGCCCCTGCAGGCTCGAGATGGCTGTTGAGCAAAGCCTCTTCGAGCAAGGGCCCACGTTTGCAATGCAGATCTTTTCCATCTTCAGATGCTATCAGGTGCTCGTCATCCTTCAATTCTTGAAGGGCGGCAGGTGAAACTTAAAGTAGGATGCAAGCCCACTTGACATGAGCATTCGAAGAGGCACGAAGATGCTCTGGGAGCATAGTCTATGTAGCTAACGGGATGGTGATTCCCGTGGTGCCGCCGTGCTATCCAAGACGACTTTTGTGGTACTTGTCGACTTCAGCCTTCAGGCATCGCATGGCATCGCGTCATCCCACAGATCCGGCCCGATCCGGCTTCACAGAGCGCCAGAAACCGAGGAGCTGGCCAGCGAATATCCTTGTTGAGACGTCAGCCAGTCGCGCCGCCTCGTGCTGGAAGGGTGCAACGGCTTCCATCGCTCAACATGCCGAGGGCTTCCGAAATTTACGGACCCCAAATACAGAGATTGCATGCTGGGATCCTGCTCAAGCAACCGCTCACGTTCGGAAAGCCTCATGTGGCGACAAGGACGGCCTCGCAATCTCCGTGCGTGGCGCCTCCATCACCCGATCACGCCTGGCGCTCTCTACAGCTCCTAGCTCCGCTCTGGTGCCAGCGCCGCAAACCGCAGAAAAAAAGACATGCGAGCGATGCCAGGCGTCGTAATCTGACATCTTCTGCTCGTAGAGTGCAACCGCGCTGGCACACTTGTCGAACTTCCGCTGAGCTGGCAAGAGACATCGGGCTTTATGACGGTCGATGATCGAAGTGGCGGGGGAGGGGTCAAGGCTCAGCAGTTGCCACATTCATCTCGATCTCACTAACCCAACAGCTCTTCAAATCAACAACCACCACATCAACTAAAAGCAGACCACGACGTCCAACAACGCGGCGACAATGCGAGATGATACAACAGTCGTTAATGCTCAAAGTTGCTCAGTCTGGATTTGTCTAGGATGAGACTTTGAAGTCTTTGGGGTTTCAACATGCTTCGCCGCTTCGCCCTAATTACATTATGGTAACATTAGTCTAGGGTTTCAAGCTGCATGGCAGGCGCAGCTCTGCTGGCCTTGGAACTGTCGCCACTGATGTGCAGCTTCTGCACGTGCTGCCCAGATTTCGTTCCGGCTGCGAAATCGCCTTGGCTGCTGCCACAGCAAGTCACTCCTTGTGCACATGTCGGCATGAGGACAGTCTCTGTCGCAGTTTCTTTCCGAGAGCTGCTCGCGAGGCAAGTCTTTAGAGAGTCAGAAGACCCGACGCCACTTCTGGATCCATGCTTCTATACAACAGACACATTCGCAAGGCGCAAGTCGCTACTTCTTGAGGCTTGTTTTGTACGACTGGCCTGCCTGGAAAACGGTGGTGGGCTCAACCACGAAAAACCTCATCTAACATCATTAACGTGCAGGCATCTGTGCTCCTCCAGGCAGAAGTTAGAAAGTTGGACCTCCCAGGGAAAAACTGACCAGAGAGGCTGCACAAACCGTGACACCGACGGTCTGCAGTCGGCATTTCGGCTTGCCGGCCACACCCCTGAAGCAGACCAGAAACAAAAGGCCACCATTCGCCATGCTAGCTTTCGTGATTCAGAACTGTCCCCCAGATATTCGGCTACCGGTGGTCAGCCACTCATGGCACCTCCGACGATGTCACGAACTCCACGCAGGAAGGACAGCTGCTCATCCTAGCTGCTCATGGGTTGGCTGCTTATCTGTCCCCGCCAGCTTGACATGACAGCGATCTCCTCTGGCTCCCAGGAGGTCTTCTTGCCAAACAGAAAGCCAAATGCCTAGCCAGGCTTGTTCGGCTATCTTCCGCAGCAGACATCTGCGGAAAGCGCCTCCAAGAATTGAGCTGGTGTGCAATCGAAAGGAGCCTTGCGGAAGTGTCGCGGACTGCAGGTCTTCAACATGAGCAGAACCCGGGACCTGTAAATGCGCCGGGATGATGCGTACAAACGGCCACCTGTAGAAAGAAGGCTTCAACTCTGCACCCGAATTCTTCGCGGTGAACGTCGTGAACGCGCTGTGCTCAGAATCGACACTCCCCGTGCACTGCGAACCCTCGGAACTGCAGGCCTGGCAACATCCTTCACCCAGGCCTCAGACGCAGATGGAACCGAACGGACGTCCTTGGAAGATGTCGTGCCTGGGTCTCTGGGTGTCTTCGAGGCTCTGGCCGCCGCTTGCTCCGGACAGCGCCGATAAACGATGAATCGCAACCTCGCTGTCAACTTCGACAGCCTCTGCCCGTGCACGATGAAAGCTTTTAATTCTTGGGGCACAGGCAGCGGGTTGACCAAAGCTGCCGGTCGCGAAAGTGCTGCGAAGTCCTGGTCAGAGCAAAAGCTGGGGCAGGGTTCAACCACTGTTTGCTGGAGGCAGGTTGCGTGAGAGCACAGGCAGAGACACAGTCAGTGGACATGCTTCAGCATGCTCAGCTTCCTGTCTAGGCCGCTCTTGATCCACGTTCCGAGTGGCCCGCCCGTCAGTTGCTGAGATGAGGTGCTGGTCTTAATATGCTTACACTCGTTAGCCGCGACTTGGAGGATTTCATGATGGAACAAGTCTTTTCAGGAAGGGTAGCGGGCAGTAGCAAGCCCATGCCGCTTCCATCTGTATGTGCTGCATGCAGTTGGGCAACATCGTGACATAATGAACGACGGGACACCACACATTAATCGCAAATCACAGCGGATTCTTCCAAAGGAACTCTTTCGGCTCTCACACTCGGACAATGCAGGGGAGGCTTGTGGTTCCTTTGGGGTCTCCCTCTTTGTGGGGATCCTCCCGGCATCCACACGTACTTGCCAGCTGCTAGCCGCTGGCGCATTTTTCGGCAACTCACCAGACCAAGGCACACAATGTGAGTGAGGGAAACTGTTTGTTGACAGCGCTGAGATGCCATCTCTTAGTTGGGACCTCTTCATGCGCTACGCATTGTCATAGCAACACCAGCTGCGCGAGCCTTCTCATCCTGGTTGCGCCCGGTCACGAAATCGAAAGCGATCGCTTTGTACCTCCCGAAAGCCGGCATCAACACGTGCATCGACCCTTTTTGCGGGGTCTGAGCACGGCCTCCACTGGTCTAACGAGATAGGCCCCGGAGTCCCGTCATAGCCATAGCTTTCGAGGATCTTTGGTGCTGCTGCTGGCAACTTGAGGGCACAATCTGTGACCAGTAGGCTGCGGCTTTCCTTGTGGAAAAACACGGCTTCGGCGAAAGTGTCCGTGACTGGCGGGGACACATAGAAAATTTTGCAGTCCAGCTCGTCAGCCCACACCGGTGCAGGACCTTCGCCTAGGATGCGGCTGTTGCTGGGAACAGTAATCGGAGGAGCCTGGCCCGGCGTCACCCAGATTTCTGCTTTCGGGTACGTGCGTGCGAACTCTGCAAGGGAAGCTTTATGCTCCAAGGCAGTGGAAGGGATTACCAGGTGAGACACCTTCCCAAGTTCGTCCAACAGGCGCAAGCACTGCCGTGTTGGAGCAATCGGTGCGGAAACCCACAATCCGCCGTTCCGCAGCTTCACAGCAGTCATGCGGATGTTGGTCGAAACCGATGCCAGGGCGATGCATTGCTCGAAGCCCCAGATGCGTCCAGGAACAAGTTCGGTTCGAAGCGTTTCCTTGTACGGTGCCGGTGCTAGAATTGTACCAAGCGCAGCGTATCTCTCGTCAGAAGCTCGGAGAGCTGCATCAACCCCCGTCGCAGTTAAAGCCGTCCCCAGCACCGTCAGTGCTACTCGTCGCGGTGTCTCCGAATCTGCTTCGGGAGCCCGTGCTCGTCGCAAGGTTTGACACCGATGGCGGGACGCCCGACATGTTGCAGCAGTCAACGGCACAGCGGCCAGCAGCCACGATCGCGGAAGCCCTGGATCCTTCGATGTACGGAGTAGGCTTTGTCTCTCCGGTGTAGGGTGCTGGGGAACCAAAGTCTTTTCAGTCAAGCATTTGCTTGAAAGCAGAAGAGCCATTGCTCCAGAGGCCGAAAAGTCTGCTCAGTTCTGCTCGGCTTAGGTTGATGGGGAAGCTGATGGGGAAAGATCGGTGTTCTTCTTGGCAATGCTGCTGTGCTGCATGTCCTTTTGCAGTACTTGCAAGTTGGGCATTGGCGACTTTTCATCTTGACGCGAAGCTACAACGCAGCTCTCACTAAGTTAGTTAATAAGTCTGGACAAGTTTTCGCAGAGATCTTGCATTGCGCAGCCGTGGCAGCGGCTCTCGGCTCTTCTCCCACTGATGCTGCGCCTGTGGGAAAGGAATGCCCAGTCAGCCTTAAGACAGCTGCACGCTTGCAAGCCTGCACGACGTGCTGGCCCATGTCGCCTTTCGATCTCACCTGCAAAGTGACATGCTTACTTGCGTGCCCCGTGACCATCATCATCATCATGCTGCAGAAGTGGCATGTAGAGCCAACCTCAAGGTCGATCCTCTGCGACCAGTCTTTCACATACCTGATGTCTTGCATGCCAATACCGGAATCCATGCTGCAGCGGAGGAAGTTTCATGGAATCATCTGGTCGGGACTGCTGTGTCTGAAGAATGTGACATGCTGGACATACCGCGCTCTGACTATCAATAGCTCGCCGTGCAATGGTTCGAATAGGACTTGTCTCGCGATCCGGCCCTGCCCAGTCCGACTACAACATGTATCTACATTTCAGCACACAGTCATGCACATATCGTGCGGCGCACTTGTCCTCCAAAACATGCAGCTTGTGCATCATGGCCCTGGCAAGTTTATGACATTCCTTGAGGCTTTGTTCGTAGTCCAGCACGCCACTAAGACTTCAGGAGGCAAGAATGCCGGCTGACGTACTTCGATTTCGAGCAGCCTCGAGAGGCATGGCCTGTTGCAGGTTTCGCTGCAACAAAAAGCATCTGGCGGTGTGCCGCCGCTGTCCTGCCCCGCGCTGGCCACGCGTGCGGAAGCCAAGCTGTTAGACCTGAGAAGAAAAGCAACTCCCGAGATTCGGAGCTGCGCCCCAAGCTCTCTGAGCTCTCTGAGAGACGAGCATGATTCGGAAGAGGGTGGAGGTCGCTGGGAAGATGCTCGCGTCTTTTCGGGGTTGCACCGCGTGGCAATGTGCTAAAAAGCTTGAATGGCTCTATTCATGCGCCGGCTGAACGCCTTTACTTTCCGACCAGTCATGCAGTACTTTCCTGGAGCCGTTTGCGCGAACCCAAACAACGGAAGCTATCGCCATCAGGCATGTGGGACCGTGTCGCCAGGAAGCCTTTTGTGGTCTTTTGAACCGCCACACAAAGCATGAGACCGACATGTCGGTGGGTGATTTTTTCTCACGCTCACCTGCCCGATAGCTGCCTCTGGCCATCAGGCTGCATGGAACGCTTAAGCAGACATACCGGCCCCACCACAGGGGACACCACCAGTGAGACGGCTTCGAGACAATTTAATGATGCGCAACTACGCTTTTTTCTTTGAAGCCTGGCGCCATGGTGCACAGAGTTGGCAGCCGGCGGAAATCTGCAGATGTACTTCGAACACCGTCTGACCTTCTTGTCCTTCTTTCGATCTTTTTCGTCTCTTTCACTTCTCTCCTCCGACTTGCTTGCTGAAAGGGGCTGGCAATGCTGGGCAGTACCGGACGTCCTTCTGCATGAGGAGCATGATTCCAAGGCCAATGACCCCGAAGATGAAGCCCAGGGCCACGAGCATGTACAACTGCATGCCGCATGCTAGGCGCTGCTAATCGCTGCTAGGGCTTGGAAGAGAAGTCAGTTGAAGCACCTTGCTGCCAGAGCCGCTGGGAGCAGGGCGCTCCTTGCCAAGCCCAAGGGATCCCCAGACCACCACAGGCCCTCAAAGGCTCGGCACAAGGTCCTGCGGCGCCTGTCCTGAGAGGGAGCAGTGCAATCGAAAGCGGCGACGAGCAGTTGAGTCCGGCTCGGCCTGCGTTTCGTGATTGCTGGCTCTGGCTTTGAGCCTGGCAAGCGACTCATCGACACGGCCGCTCCGCAAGAAGCTTCTTCCAAAAGGTCGACACTCTACACACTCTCGCCTTTTTTTGCTCCTCCTGTTTCTTTAGCGCCTCTTGCTGCATTTCCATGTGCTCCTGACAGGAACCAGGTGAAAGCAGGGTCGGCTCGTTTGGCGTTGGGCACACAGAACAAATCGGCTTAGATGTTGTGCGAGTGTGGCCGAGCGTGGCCGAAGGCAAGACTAAGACCTATCCTATGTATCTACTCTCTCCAAGAGTTTCAACACTGGCTTTGTATAGTGATGTCTGCAGGGCAAGCGGGCCATGGGCAATATCTGCCCAGCCGCTCCTTCAGCACTGTCTCCAGCAAGGACCACTGTCTATTGGAGGCCTGAAGCCCAAGAAAGCCAGACAAAGTGGCAAGGCAAAACAACACCGCAAAAACATCGGTTGCCTTGGCCGGCGGTTCATAAAGCTGTGCATCCTGACAAATCTCACAAGCAGCACAGCAGCAAACCATAGTCACAGTGATCAGGATCGTGGGAGTTCGTACATAATCACGCTCCTTCAGAACATCGGAATTGCCGTCCGCTGCGGCTTTGGCATCCGCGTCTGGGATTTTCACGTAGCACCTGAGCGACTCGAACTAGAAATGTCACAACTGCACAGACCGAGGGTCGTTTGCAGTAGAAGCATCGCATGAGTGGCCTGGCCCTTGACAGAAGGGGTGCAACAAGTGGACAGCCAGCACATGCCAGCTTGCACTTTTGCGGGGCTGCGCTCGATTGCAGTTGTTGGAGGGGTCTCTTTGCCAAAAATCACACATCACTTTGGTGTGATCTTGCGATCAGACAGTAGCAATTCCAGCAACGGTAGGATTGAGAAAGCCACAATTCTCAAGCTCGAAATACTCCCCATCTACCTTGGCAAAGCCACCGGCCTCAATGTTCTGGAGCGTACGGCGGTCAAAGTGACAGCCATCAGCAGAGAGCACGTGGTCTGGAGTTGCCAACTTCTGGGCTGTTGCGATGAATCCATTGGTTTCGGATAGCACGTGCTCGACGAATAAGTAGTACCCACCAGGCTTCAGAACTCGCCGAATTTCGGCCACCGCATGGTCAGGGTTGGCAACGGAGCACAGGGTCAGCGTGCAGATCACCTGCAGCTAAACGGAATCAAGACAGCAATACATCTGGGCACAGAGGCATCGTTGACAAATTCCCTCTTTCTTTCTTTCGGAGGGGCTCTGACTGGCTCTACATGTTCCTCCAGGGGGGCATTTCTCTTCTTCTTTTGCTTACTGCCTTTGATGAATCGGAGGTTCCATTGTTGACTTCTCCCTTGCTTGCTTCTCTTCTCTCTTGCCTGATCTCTGACTGCAGCTGAGGATCCGCATCCGCACTTTGCCCTGGCAAAGGCAGAGCCTCGGCGATGCCCTTGGTGAAACGAAAAGAGTTGCCACGTTCCGGCGCCAGAAGGCCGACCTTCTTGGCATTTTCGATGGCATACCGCTCCATGTACTCGTTGGGGTCAACGCCCACAATGTCCATGGAACTGGGTGCCGACTTCGAGCCGAAGTAGAGAGCATTCGGGAAACTGCCTATCCCCACTTCGACCACCACGGGGTTTGGAGGCAGCAGGCCCCACAGCTTCGAAAACAATGCACGCTTCTTCTTCGACACTGCGCGCTCGTAGTCGACCATGCCATAGGCCATACCCTTGGCAAATTGCTCGTCTTTCCGCGCGTCTCGCGGCGGAAGTTGCGTGGGAGCGATGGTCACCTCTGCGTTGGCTTTGGCCCAGGAGAGAAATGGAAGGGCAGCCAGAAGCGCGCGGCGAGGTCCAGCAAAGCTTTCACTTTTGGTGATTTCCAGCGCTGCGAGCAGCCAAACTAGGCAACCGGCCTTGCAGCACTTGTTCCATTTCGACCACCGAGTGCGCCTGACACGTTCCATGGCCTGGCTCCCAGGCGGTCCTGGCAAGCAGGCACTCTCGGAATCTCGTTTCTTGCACCTTGGTCGCATCTAAGACTAAGACATTAAAACCTTGTTATATGATAAGTTATGATAACTTATATGACCTTGTTCTGGTATGGGAATCACACAACCGCAGCCATCCTGCTGGGGCCAATTGCCCGGTCGAGACACGATAAACACACAAGTCACACGAGTGTGATGAGCTCGCTTCGTACGGTCTACGAGTGAACCACTGCATGGCTCTCGTAGTCAGATGGCTGTCATGACACAGATTCAAACTCAGCTGCCAGGGGCGGTGCGTTATCATCCACGTATAGAAGATGGAGTTCATTGCCTGGAGGCTGGGGCATTCATTCATCTACAATTGCCTGCAGCAAGAACGAGGGCAATCGGTGGTCGAAGCCTGCTGCTTGTTCAGGCCACGTTCAGCAAGCCTTGGGCAGCTCAAGATATGTGAACAAAATCAGCAGTTTCTCAGCTACAGCACTTTCTGCCTGCAGGTCTTTGCATTCTCAGAAAAATAAAGGAAAACAACCTTGGCCTGAGCTGACAACGTCCTATGGAACCTGACAAATAAACAGCATACTGCATCGAATTGGGAGGTCAACGCAGCTGAGAGGCTGTGCGGCGAGCTGAGAGACTTCCTCGGAGTGAGTGTGCAACCTGCACACGAGTGACCAGTGCACAGCAGCGTCGGATATTGCTCTCATCATCCTTCACTGAACCCCAGACCCACCCGAATCCTTTTGCATCCTCTTCCAGAAGAGAGACCTAATCGAATCTAGATCCTGGCTGACCAGGGCGGCCTTGCCATGGCACCTGCCACAGGCGACATGCTGTGATGAGAGTTGCAAGGTGCGAGTAGAACCGTCTGAGGGCATCTCTCTTCCCTCATGCCAGCGACACTCTTGGTCGGATGGAGCTTCAGAAAGGCCCACGTGGTGGTGGTTCGGATTATGTCAAGTCCAAGGAGTTGGCCACGAACTGATGAGCACAAGGCAGTGGATCACATGTCCCGGCACAGTCCCCATTCCAACTCAAGTTCTGAAAGCCCCATCGAACCCCAGGAATCCATCCATTTGCCTTGCATGAAATCAGCGGAACGTGAGTCACCGCAACAAGGAGCTGCCGTTCGATGTTTCTGAATGCCTGGGGTGGGGCCTGGCCACAGCTGTCCACTTGTGGTGCGCATAAATGGAGCGTCTAGTGACCCTGTGTGTAGCAGAGTGTTTCGCAACTGTTTCTGAAGGCGACATATGGGCCAGGCCATGTCTGGCCTTTGTTTCGTGAGGGCGATGTGTCCCTGTCGGAAAGAACGGATGGCATGGAAGAATTCCGGCATCCGTGCCGTGTGAGCCGAAGAGCAGCCCATTGTAGTTCATTATAGCAAGTAAGCTTTGTATTGCAGTGAGAAGTATTCGCGAGCATGTGGCAAAGGGACACAGAATGAAGATGTCGATGCTCACGTCACTACCTATCGCTACGAACGTTCCGGGCAGCTTATGCAAATTGCAGCCCCCGCCCCGTGTGGCTCTTGTCCCTCTTCGGAAGTCTGCAGGTCTCGTTCCCGACAGAATTCGGATCATTTTGTTTTCTCGTGTGCCTGCTTCTCCTGCAGCTGGTCCTCTGGATCTCAGCACCTTTTGTGTGTAGGTTGCCTGATCTCATTCTGAAAGTTCGCACTGTCCACGTGGTGAATTTTGTATGTCAGGCGACTGTCTTCACCTTGTCCTCTGTTTCTCCCATACAAACACAGCTGCGCATGAATAAGATAAACAAATCCAGACAAAGCCATGTCCCTGCCTGCAAGGCATATCTTCATTCGCATGGTGCGATCTTCTTCTGGCATGTCCTGAGAACGAGATGCGGGTGCCAGCGTTTGCATAGCATTTCGGGAAATCCGTCCTTGTCGAAATCGTCTGCTTCAGGCTCTCCTCCATCGGCTGAACTACTAAATGCTCTGGCTCGGGAGACTGTTTGATGCTGCCCTGTCCTGCACTTGCGCCATCGACCTGCTCAATAGCTGAAGGCAGTGGCACTGGCTGAATCTCGGCCCAATGCCTCGTCGAGGTCGTCCTCATCGTCGTTCTCCAAATCATCCAGGTCCAGGTCCGCATCATCTGCGACCCCCTGGTTCAAAGCTCGACTCTACCGTCTTGCACAACAGAATCGTCCGGCACTATCCAGAATCCGGCTTTCGCAGTCTCTGCTGCATTTGTCTCAGGTGACGCCTCACCACATGGCACAGTAGCAGCCAGAGACGGAGCGCAGTGTATGCATTGAATTGAAAGTCACAAGTTCGGGTGCAACTCTTCAATTCAAGCAGCAGAAAGGGCCAGCTGCGCTAGCACAAGGCACGCCACCGGAAGCCCCTGTAGTCACTGCTGCTTGCAAGCTTTTTGCTGCAGGCTTTCGACTTCCGCGCCAAGTCAAAGTCCGAGGCCACGGCGCGCATCAAAGCCGACAGGCAGAGGGCACAAGGGCCCAAAATTGAACCCCAAACAGGTTCTGAACTCCGAAACCTAAAACTACTGTACTCGGGAGCCCATGCCACCAGTCAGATAGGAAATGCCAGCTGTTGGCAAGCCTGATACGGTTCGAACTCAGGCAAAAACGAGCAGGCACTGCGGTGCTCGGCAACACACTTTTCTCACAAGATGGCTCTTACCTTGCTCGACACTTGGACAGCACCCGCCGGAATGGCAGTCTTTGCCATTTGCGCACACGACGTGCAGCTGGCAGGGCGCGCGCTACGGAGTGGGGAAGAGAACCTTCTGCATAGGAGATGAGACGATCTTCACCTGGCCATGGCCTGGTTGAGTCGCAACTTCCGAAGGCCGTGGTGTCTTGCCGGTATTCTGAGATCTCGGTCGCGGGACGCATGGGCCGCCCTCCCTTTCGTCGGTGCGCGTCCTGCTTTGTAAATCTCTTCTGGAATTCTCGGACCCATGACTGGCGTCGTCAATCCATGCTGTCCAGGTCCATCGCCACATTCTCATGTAGCAATTTCTGCAGTGTGCCGACTCCCAACTGCTTTGGCAGGTTCTCCCTGGATCACAAGTGCATCTGTTGGAACCGTTTGTGCTCGTTGCAAGTGCGGACGAGTCGCCCATAGAGCCGTGACATGGATTCCAGCGCCGCCTTTCCCTCTGACTGGGCTTTCAGCTGCGAGGCACCGTCCTCGGCAGTCCTGCACGGAATGGGAGCCTCGATGGCACAGGTTGCACTCTTGCCAGTGCAATTAACCATCCGATCTCCTGATCCTCGCGATTGCTAGAAGTACCAAGACCTCCTTGGCGTGGTGTTGCCCAAGGGCATGCAATGATTGCTTGGACTTCTTGGCACTGGACACTGGAGCTGCCCAGTCGCTGCTTTCCTGGATGACATCTCATCATCTGGGATTCCCAAAGCGGTCAGAACTTTGGGGGCCAACTCCATGCAGGTCTTCCAGTCTTCTGCAATTTCTGCGATGCGCAGAATACCTTGGCCCCAGATCTTACAAACGATAGTCACAGCCGGAACTATCTTCGAGGTAGCTGCTGCAGGCTGGGGTGCTGATCAGCTCTCGGAGGAGCATGTGCCGCGGCCCCAAAAGCTGCAAAAGACTCTCCCAAGCCGGGCCCAGCTGCAAAAGCCTGGTACACGCACTCCAAATGGATGCGGACGGGCTAAGGCCGCCAAAATGCAAAACGGCAGTTTGCGCCTTTTCCGAGCTTCTTCACCACTGAGTTTGCCAAGGCCAGCCAGCTGCCCAACTGCAGAGGCAGCATCTGCGACCTGCAGCTTCGATTTGGACGAGGCAGGAGGCTCAGAGTGCGGCACATCCAGGCATCATCAAAGCTGAAGCCATGGGGCCCGGCAGATATCCTCAGGTTCGCAGCCCAGCTGCGCAACATCTAGAAGCATGACGCGGGACAAAACCTGCTGCCGGGCAGCTTCCTCGGATGCCGCTTCTATGGCAATGCCCATCTCTTTGCGCAGGAACAGGCACAATCCCCTGGTTCGCTCGGCGCTGATCATCAGAATGGTCCTTAATTCGCATGGGCCGGAGAGAGCTTTCACTTTGGGACTTCGGCCTAACTGCTGAACTAACGCAGACGCATCGGCCCATCGGCTGCCTTCACGGCTGCGATGCTTTCCTCGATCCCCGCTGGGAGATTTGCCGGCCGGTCCCCCACAGCCACACTACCTCGGCATTTCGCGATTCAATGAAGACTTCAGGCAACTGCGCACACATGTGCCACGACAACTTTCTCCTGGGTTTACAAGGCGGCCGACGCTCCCAAGCACTGATCGGCCGACACACGGCGCAATCACAAATGAAGCCATAAGTTGCCTTCCTGTCATGAAAGCTACTCAGCAGACTCTTGCAGGCCACTCAGCCATGCCAGCAAAGGCTGCAAAGTCATACAATGCAAACTCTACCGTGCTGCGAGGCCACAGCGACGGTTGGCGTATCCACCACGGGCGTGTTGGATCAACGTAGCTGATCAGAACCTCGTCCCCGGCTCTGAGGTCACGGACGCATTGCACACGATGTGTCCTGACCCGCCGGTGCAGAATTCACTCGCGACACTAGTGAGTCACTGGTGTCACTGGTGGCCAGAGTCAAGAATGCCAAGCTAGCAATAAACTATGTCAACCCGCAGTTGTAAAGCAAGGCGAAAAGCATGCAAAGTCTACCTGCCCTTCGCCGGAATCTGCCAGACGATGGCAGCATTCGGACTGCAAGAGTGGTTCCTTGCGTTCCGGACACTGCAACGGCATGCCATCATGCTCAAGAAAAAGGCAGCTCTACAGATCTGCTCAATTTCGGAAACGGAGCAGAAGTCGACTTTTGGTTATAGCTTCCGAGCATCAAAAGAGCTGCAATTGGGTCGCACAGCTGGCCAGCAGGCGTGGCATCGTCGCTGCACACCAAGAAGCTGTTGCAAGTCCTCCGATTGTTCGTCGTCTAGCATCAACAGGATGTACTGGATCTACTGTGCAAAGCTGCCAGCATCAACTTCATCCCGACTCATGCATCTCCAGTTCATAGTTCACAGGTTCACTTACTCAGCTGTATGCTCTCAATTGCAAGACATCCCATGAGCCCGAACACACACACCATGTGAACACTGAACAGTGCACCAACATACTTTGCCTGCCTCATCCTGCCTCCCTATCCTCACCACTGCATCAAGAAGGATTGTACCGAAGGCTCAACTGCTCGTAGCAGTGGCAGATCACATCCGCCAGCTCTGGGCTGTGCCGAAGCTCTGCCGGAAACAAGGCATTCAGGGGCTCCCTCATCAAGAGCGCCTCAATGCGGAACGTGCAGCGGCAAGTGATGCACCAGCAGTCGGCCAAGTTGGCAGTCCCACGATTCTACGGTGACAGCGACATACACGGACCATGCCGGGGCAGGTCACAACTACAGTGGCAAATGCATGCAAAGTGGCAGCAAAAGCTTGTGGATCGCCTGGAATCTCCTCACATCCCATTGAGTGGCGAATACTTGGATTGATGCGCGACGCCATGGGCATGAATCAGGCCTGTCCTCTGGTGGCGTACAAAGCTCGGCGAAATCGTCCAGCAAGGCCACAGCAAGCTTGGCACACGGAGAAGATCTGGGTTCTCGGCCACCTCGAAATGGTAACAAGAATACAGGGTGGACAAGCAAAGACACGCATCTTCGGACGAGAGGCTGTCAACAAGGCGCAGAAGCCGAGAGATTGAGAGGGCACAGCACACCAGCTGCTGCCGGTGGTCATGCTCTTCGATTCCCTGACTCCGAGCATGGTCCTGGCATGCTTGAAGCCTCAGCGCACAGCCTCTGCACCACAACAAACATTCCTTCATGCATCTGGTGTTGTAGGCCAAGTGGCAGTTTGGCCAGCACAGGGCACTCCTCGCATCAAGCCCAAAGCGCCAAAGCAAGCACCCTGTTACTTGCGCACCGTACCCGCTCATGGATGGCATCCTCGCTGTGCCACAGATCGGCCCGGCAGGACGAGCAAAATGCCACTGTGCCGCAGCCCTTGCAGATCCTCAGACCTTTTTTTGGACACTCCCACTCGGGCACGCCACACAAAAACCACGATCTGACATGTCGAAAACTCACAGGCTCGTCGTCTGGCCCTGTTGAAGGTCCCCAAACATGCAGCATATTCCTAGCGCAATACTGCTGCATCGGGCATTGTGTGGTAAAATTGTTCAAGTGGTTGTCCGTTTTGGTGGCATGTGTGGCCGCGTGAAGCTGCATTTATTCTCAGATGCACAAAGGGTTGAGATGTTGCTGCTGTGCCACAAGCGAGTTTGCTGTTCAACAGTTGCAACGTGTCATGTGCGTTGAGTGCGGCTGTCCTACAGCCTTTGGGGTCTTTGTGAGCGCAGGGTGTAACACACACACACACACTCCAAACCGTCCCTAGCCCCTGACTTCTCCAACCCAACATCTCCCGGGAAGATGCCCCAACAAGTACGTGGAACGATGCTGAAATGGAGGCTTCAAAGCGTGCCACGTATCAGGAAAGTAAAGTTTTGGACACTTGCAACACTTAAAGACCACTGGCCTGGTCAACAACACCAAAGCCCTAAAACTACCGACATCTCCGAGCAGCTATCATCGTCACTGCTTGCCAGGCATTTCGAACAGCGGTTCTTCCACAGGTCTGGAAGGCAGACTAGAAGAGCTGCCTCCCACTTCCAAGTAATTCAGAACAGCTTTTGTGGCCACGTTTTTTGCCACTCCCACCTCGCCGACGAAAAGCGTCTCACCCTGGCGGAAGCTCCGAGTGCAATACCTGAGAACTACATTCTGGATGTGATCTCCATTCCGTCCATCATTATGAGTGCAATTCCACAACATCAGAATCAGTCGTGCAACCAGCATGCAGCCCTCTTCCCTTTGCATCTTGCCGCACTTCCAGGTCCAGGTGTCGGAACCGGCGACCCATGTGTCATCCATTGGAGGCGGCACCACCTGTCAAAGGCCTCTAGTGTCGGTCGCGATGCTAACTCAATGTTCGCACTGACATATACCCGGCACCCGCGGGGCGCTTCGTGCTTTTCTCAAATCCGATCCCAGATTGAAGCATGCAGGAGGTTTGGCGACAACGCCAAGAGTTCGTAGCTCCTGATTTCCTAGTAGCAAGAAGCAGTGCAAAATGGTGCCATTTTGAGATCATGCTAAGCCCAGCGGTCTCCAACCGGCCCGAATTTCTCTGTACGCAAAAAGCAATGCATCAGGGTAACTTTGTTATGTAATGCAAGGCGGATGCCTTGGAGTTGCTGAGAAGTCACCGCTGCAGTTTCGGCACCGATGTAGACATACTGACTGAAGTAGCAACTGCCAGGCTCTCCATGATCAACATCGTGATGACCGGCGTCATGTGTAGTGTAGTCATCATCACCAACAACGCCATTCGCGATCATTACCGTGACCATCATCAATGTGATCATGAAGAATATGGTAGCCACAAAGGCGGTCACAAAAAGCAAGATACTGACAACGCATAACGCTAGACTCTCTAGTCGCCCTCCTGGGTTTTGGCTTTGGGTATCCTCCAGATTCCGCAAGTGACAAAGCTGCAGCAGCTACGACGCGGAAAATCGCTGGAGTGAAACTTGTGGAACTGCATTTGTGCAGCTTCCCAAAATCGCAATGTCAATCAAACGTCTAAAGCAAACCCTTGCCATGACAGTGAGGTGCATCTCTGCTTTGCAGGGAAGAACTCTCATGACCTGGGACGAAGTGCGGTCAGTTTGCAGGCAAGCACACTCCACCCAACCGCAGCGATGCTGGCACAAGCACAAGCCACACGTGCAAACACATGTTCAACGACACACACACGCACACACACATGCACGCACACACACGCACAGCTCGATGCCTCAGGGCATGGAACCCAGCTGACGACAGCGCGCCCTGCAATTGTCTGGTCGCTTGTCTAAAGAAACCGTAGGTGTGAAGCCATGTCCTAGCAGAAGCCTGTGATGAAGATCTGGTGACTTGACGCTCGAACCTCGGCAGTCCATGTGAGCCTCCTCTCCTTCCTCTCGTTTAAGGAATTCTCTCTTCGCCTTGCCCCCGCATCTGCCCGTCTGCAAAACGCCACTGCCTATGCATGAACATCGCCGAGCGACGATCCCACAGACACGGCACGCCTGTCGGAAATGAAGGCCCGCAACCGCGTGCAAATTAACTCAGCCACCCATACAGCCGAAGCACCTCTTGGCAGCAAGGGATGGTCCCGGTGAAGCATTCCTGCTCCTCAGCCATGCTAGTGAAGCAGAAGGCGCCGAACCTGACAACATTGCGTGCCTGAGCTGCAGGTCCATTCCTGCATCCCACCTTGCAGACTGAGCAGTTTTTGGTCTTGCCAATACCTGTCGTTGCTCTGTTGATGCGCATGTTCACCGAGATGACCACTGCATCGGCATTCCAGGAAGCTGCACAGATGGAAGGTCCTCGGACTCAGTTTCGCTTGATAGTTTAGAAGAGCAGGAGACTTGGCTTGAACGCCATCCTTGCTTCGCGAGGACGCTCTCCACCCGCTTTCCTTAGCGACTGAAGGCAGAGCGCCACCCCATTTTCATTGTGCCGTGGGACGAGCGATCAGACCGGGGCCGAAGCTGTGACACTCCGCCCGCGATCACCCCTAGCCGGAGACCTGTGGCAGTCACTACTCACCAAGAGGGTCCGAAAAGGTATGCGCACTTTTGACATGCGGTACTGCACATTTTCTTCGCAGCAGTGAAGCAGTCGTCACAGCAAACGCTTCTTCACATTACCCCTGCGGCGCGCTCTCTGGGGCGTGCTCTGCGACTGCTTCATCTGCTTAGTGGAACGTGAAGACTGTAGCAGCGCCGTGCTCTTGGACTGGCTTGTCAGTGTCCTGAGAATCGCCCTGCAGGCGCCAACAGCACTGTTGTAGGTGGCTCGATCCGGTTTCAGGCCTGCCTCGAGCATCTCCTCTAAGAGCCACAGGGCTTTCAACATTTCGCCGGCGCGCTCGCAAGCGAGGATTGCTGAGCGATAGTTTGCTGCAGTGGGCGTTTTTGGAAGCCGTCGGATCTCGCTCAGCAGTTCCAAAGCAGGCTCCCAGCGCGAGGCCCTCTGGCAGGCCTCCATGGCGGCACCGTAGGCGCTGTGCAGCGTCTGCGCATCCACGCCGCTTTGGCTCCGCAGCTCCTCGAGGAGCTCCAAGGCCCAGCTCCAGGATTTCTTCGGAGCCAATCCTTCCTAGAGATGCAAAGCAGCACAAGGCAACAAGTTCAGCTCTCTACGTCCGTGCATCCTCGACCACACTTGCGTCCTGGAAGGACCAGGCAAAGTGCTCCATCTGCAGCTTTCTCAAGAAGGCAGTCAGCCACTCGGGGTCGGGCCCCAGTAAGCCGTAGAAAGTCTCCTCAGCCAAACAAACGCTGCAAGCAAGCTGTAGGCACTAGTCGCTTCAACAGGGTAAAGTGTAAAGGCTTTGTGAGTTGTCGCTTGCCTCTCGGCCAAGTCTCAGCACTCCCATTGAAGAAAGTCAGCTGCACACGGCCCTTTGCGGCTTCGATTGGCCTCGATGCGTCCTCGAGATGCAGCCCATGCACCTCAAAGCGAGCATGCCATGGGCCCACCACATCGGATCTCTGGCCATGGGACATGTCCAACAAACTACAGGCAGGCGAGCTACTGCTATTCCGGAGGCTGCCAGCAACTGGTATCCAGGCTGGATCAACTGACTTCCTCGGCTTTGCTGAAATGACAAACCTTACGGCGCGATAGTGTCGCATGTCAGTGTGTCTGCAGCCACGTCTGCTGTCGAGACTGCCAGTCACACAGAAGACTAATGACTGCTTGTAGGCCGGTGATGGAGCGAGTCGGTGTAGCCACACAACATCCGGCTTCTGAAGACAAGCTTCGCGCGGCGTTTGAACCTGGCTTGATGCTCTTCACCGCCACACCACCACCCAATTGCGGCGGGTTCTCCTCGATTTGTATCCCCAGCCTTGCGCTCAGGCCGACGATGCGACTCCTACGGCGATGATATCTAGATTACATACATCAGAGACACGGCGTTGCCAATCTCAGAACGGATGCGGCTTCTCCAGTGTCACTGTCACGTAGTTTGCTTCATCCATTGAGTCTACGAGCACCTCATGAGGAAGGCGGATAGACACCTCTACACCAACGGATGCCGTCCTTATCTACGTGAAAATCAGCCCTGGCTGCCCTTGCCATTGGAAAGCTGAAGGGACAATTGAGGCTCTGGAAACCTTTTGAACAAGTTGTGCTCCGAGCAGCCGATTCCGCATCAAGCAGCGGCAGAAGAAGGTCTGTCCAGTTTTCGGTGCTTTCAAAAGCCTCCTCCAACACGCCGGGAAACAGTGCTGAGAGAGGCGTTTCAAACCTCAGAGCTTTCTTCTCTGAGACCAGCTCCTCTTGCTTTGGCCGAATGTCGAAGTTGCGCTCAAGCCACTGGAGCGGTACATCCAAGTTTTGCAGCGGCGTCTCGAGCTCTATCTCTTCATCTTCTGGCACTACGGCCTCCTTGTTCGGCCAATTCTCTTCGATCTCTCCGATAACTTCGTTCAAACGTTGAGAGAGCCCCTGTTGCAACAGAGGGATTGGCGCTTCGATCTCCAGCGAATCATCTTCCGATTCCGACACAAACGTTTCCGTAGGCTCTGGAAGAATCAGGCCTGCTTTCTGAAGCAAGCCCCTGACGTCAAGGCTACTCTGCCTTCCCTTTGCAAAGCGGCTTGTGCGGTGTGCGGCCGGCCTGCCACCCGAAAGACCCCCAGAGAGTGCCACGCCTGCACCTGGGTTCAACACGAAGTTGCCGACGATGGCTGCCAAGCAACCCAACACGACTTTCAGCAGCCGTGTGCGCATGGCTAGAGCATCTACATGTCTACGAAGGTCAAGCAAGGAACCTGCTGGGCAACCTTCCTGAGCCCAGCTTGCTCAAGACACCCACACAAGCTTCTCTCCATCTGACGGCGTGTGGTTGCTCTTCGAGGCACACTTCTTGGCAGAGCATATTCGACAGTGGGAACACTGACGGGTGAGGAAAGGAAATTTGGAGAGGATCTGATTGCAAGTGGCCTGGGTGGTTTGGGCGGGCGGCTCATGGATGAAGGCCCTCCCTCCGGGATCAGCGCAGGCACACCTCGGAACTAAGATGTAAAGCGCAAATCCCTTGCAACAGCCGGGACTGCTCGGCACTGCACTCGCAGATGCTTTCGGCTTCGGAGGTGATGGCGCCAGCACATTCGAGATGTCTCTTGACACCTCCAGGTTGACGGGCCGTGGCTCCTCCGGCTTCGCGGCTTCCTGACATCTCGAACAGCTTCGACCAGTTCTTGAGGCAGGACAAAGAGGTGTTGGAGGGTTCCCAGCACAGGGCAAACAGCCTGCAGCTCGCTGAGCATCAGAGTTGCAGAATTGAGTTCGTTCACAGCCTCGTGTCAAGAGCTGGCAGGGTCCACAGGCCTACACTCTTACATAGACTTCCTGGAGGCCCGGAGGCAGACTTTCTGCAGGCCTTGATGCGGTCACCTGGCTTGATTGCAAGGCTGGCATGCTGTTCCTCGTCGCCGCGGTCTGCCTCACACGCATGCAACATCAGCCACCGAGCTAGAAAGTTCGGGCTGTCACTCCGCCTGCCGCTCTTCGGCAGTGTTCCACTGGGCCACAGGCGTCCTGATGTACCGGTGGCTATGCTCCAAGATGCTCAGGGCAGACGCAGACAGAGACCTAGCGGCCTAGCTCAACCGGAGCGGTCCTTTGCCTTGGATTCTCGTCGACGTCATTAACGATCAACCTGGCGCTAAACCGTGAGGTGGTGAACGATGAAGGGTGCCAAGGCAATTGTAGTCTGCCTCGCTTTCGAATCGTGGCGCTTGACCTGGAACGACAGGGCTCGTGCAGTTGCACGGTCGGGTGCCAACAAAGCCACCGGTGTGCCTTGCCTCCATGCCAATTCGGGAGATGGGGTCCGAATAGATCGTAGCCTTAATTACGCTGCATTCACGTCATGCAACAGTGTCGGTTACCGACAACTATCAGCTTACATGGATGAGGCTGCGGCTGGACTGGGCTTGTCCAGCTGAACCTCGGCTGGAGATGCCATGCCAAGCACGGCCCATGGCTTCAGCATGCATGCACAGGTACAAATTCAAACGATTGGGGCGAGCATCCCGGAATCGTGCAGATGTACCGCGAAGATCACCTCGCATCCTCATCAGGCCAGCCTTCAATGCCGTTTTCTGCCAGGCTGGTCGAGATTTCTCGGAAAAGCTCTACGAATACCATGCGTTGCTGAAGTGGCGGGGGAATTCATGACGCTCTGCACTCACACTGTCGACTAGCGCCCGCTTGGATCAGCCCATGCTCTGTCCAGGTTTCTAAACTCTAAACTGTTGTTGGTATTTCTGCCGTTGTGTGCCTGTCATTGCCGGAAGGTGCTTACAAGCAGCGACGACAAGCATCCAGCCTGTGACGGCAAGCTGCTCGCACGCAGTTTCGCCGACATGGCTTCAGCTATGTTCAGCTCCACCACTGCAGCGCGAAAAAGGACATGGTCAATGTGTCAGCCAGTAGAGTCCCGATTGTTCTACATCCCAGTAGACATCCGATCGCTTGCAAGGTTTCAAGGATGGGGCAGGCCGAAGAGAAAGGGATCATGTCACCAACCAAGGGTAATGTTGCTTTTGCAGGTCCTGCCACTGGACCGAGCTATCGGCAAACGCTGGCGGAACCCGAAGAGAATTGCAAGCTGCGCCATGCTGCAAATGCAAACTGCAGACACTCCTGTTATGCCGTGGACTTTGTTTCTGGCGGCACACCGGGGTTAAGGTCAAAACAGGTTCTACCTCACAGGCTCCAGCTTGCAAGCTCCGAGAAGCTGGAAACCATGCCAACGTTGGCTTCAAGCCCTTCAAGCCATTATAGTTGCAGAGAGTTGCTGACCGGTGCTCAAAATGTGCAAGGGCAAGGCTCCAAGCAAGTTCATAGACTAGGTTTTGTCTATGTCATTACAGCATCGGTCCCTGGGCAAGGGTCTGTTGCTTATGCAATCCGGCGGCCACCTGAGTCTACCTGAATCTGGCTTTGTGAGTGATTTGGGATGAAAAGCAACCGACCTGTATCTGATCTACAGCCAGGTTTATGCAGTAATGCTCTCACATTGGCCTCGGCATGCCAGGCATTCCAGGCATGCTCGGCATTCCGCGGCCGGCACCGGGCATTGCTCCCATGTTCGGCAAGCCCATACTCGGCATCCCTGGCAACCCTGGCATGCCTGGGAGTCCAGGAAGGCCACCAGGTCGGAGCCCCGCTGCCAACAAGGGGTTCAGCATGGGTGGCCGCATACCCGCGAGAAGTGCGGCTGCGTTCAGTGCTGGGGCTGCTGGAGCCTTTGCCGCTGGGGCAGGCTTGGCAGCCGGAGTGGCTGCAGGGGTTGCCTTCTTGCGCGGCTTGTCCGTTTCAACCAAGTCCTGCGCAACAGCCGGTCTACTGATCGCGCTTGAGCAGAGAGCAGGGGCGTCCTCCTTGCCAAGTTCCTCTGGCTGGATGTAGAGAATGCCGGTCCCGCGGACCACTATGAAGCCCAGCATCCTGTCAGATCAAGCTGATGCACAAGAAAGAGCACGGTCGCTTCGCCAGCCTCTTGAGCTCTTTACCCTCCGGCTTGCCCTTGACCTTGTACTTGCGATATTCCTGCGAGCAGCCACACACTTTCCTTGACGAGGCAACCCCGCAACTACTCTGTCAACCGACCTCAGTGTTGCAGAGAACGATATTCACATGCCTGACAGATACTTCACTTCACAGCGGCCGCAGCACATGGTGCAAAGACAGGCTGGGGCCTGTCTACAGCCATGAGGACACCGACCAACACTCGGCCATCGGTCAAGGTGACGCTCACCTCAGCTCTGGAAAACTCCACATATTCCCAGGAGGGCCGATCCTTTGCAAAGCGACGTCCTGCGAAAGCCTGTGGGAGGCACACGCCAGTTGAAGAACTGTGCCAATTTGCGCCTGTTCATAGAGAAGCTATGCCACCTACGGGAGTCCCACAGCCACTTGACCACAGCCCCAGGCCTGACAGCTCGGACTTTTCCCATGTTCTGTCCTGCACATGCCAGAACAATCGCATCCCATCATCCGAGTCCCACTCGGCTTTCAGAGGCTTAGAGGGCGCTGGCTCGCTCCTTTGGATCGACTTGTTGCCGCCCCTTCTTGACCAGCACAGGATTTGCTGGTGAGCCAAAGGATCTGCACAGAGCTACACTGCCCATCGCGTGCCCCACGAGGTTCTATTGAATCTATTGCAATCGTAGGCACAACTATTCAAGCGAGCTCTGTTTCAAGGCAGCACCGGGTGTCGACGTCTCTGGCCAAGGGGCACGGCAGAGCACATTTTATGCTCGCCGGTGAATGGTGGACTGACGGACCCGCTGAGGATTTCATGTACACTACGATCTTGCGACTCGCGGCAGCCTGCAACAATGTGACAACCATCCTGATCAGAAGGCCACAGGACAACCCTCCATGCGCATTCTAGGAAGTAGAGGGGCCTTTTTCAGGCCATGGGGGGCCTGACCGACTGGCCGAATTCACAAACGCCGGCATCAGAATCGCCACAGGCCTCGAGACCGTCAGGCGACATCATCCGATGCCCCTGATATCTCAATCTGAGCCCTGCTTCTTCTTGGTCAAGTTGACCTGGAGGCTCTGCAAGGATGCTCTCATGTGGTTGCAACTTGCTCCGATCCCTCTCGCTGAGGAGGCCGCGGTCTCACCTCAAGGAGGCAAGAGCTATGCAGGTGCAGGCTACAACAGCGTCGGATGTTGTGCGGGTCAAGGCCCCTGCGCTTCAGCACATGCAAGAGGGTCTGCGAAGACTCCAAGATCTTCATGTAAGCAGCCTGGCGTTCTGTGCCGGCATCTGTGCGAAGCGCACTCTATGGTTGCAGTCGCACAACCGGGTGAGTGTCTTGGACAACGTGTTGAGGCAGAGTCTGGACCAGCAGTGCTGCCGTTCCCTACGCCTGGTGAGGTGCATCCGCCCTGATTCCCAAATGCCCTTGTCGTGAAGGCAAGCAGTGACGTGTGCTTCGAATCGAAGTCCAAGCCTTGTGTGCTGCACAAACCCGGAATTCATGGCTCGAGTCGCATGGAAACGGAACCCCGGCAGCTTGGCAAGGACCTAATACCTCCACTCCCCTTTGATCGAGTTGGGCCGAGAACTGGATTCTAGCATCTGCGGAAAGGCCTCAGTTTCCTGGATGGTCTTGTCATACTCGTTGCGAGCTTGGGTCTTGCGTACCAAGCTTTCGTTGACCTGCCACTGAATTCCCCCAAATTCCCTGCGCCCACGCCGAGACCAGGCTGGCCTTCTGCAAGCGATCTGTAAGAATCGACAGCTCTTTCTGTACCTTTGCCTTGTCCTCCTCTTCCTGCACAAATGGGCCCATCAGGAGACTTGTAGCCCAACAGCCCCAACCTTCGACCCAGAATCCGATATCGCAGGAAAACGCACCATGCGTGTGTCGGCGAGTTGTGTTGAGGCACCGAATGACACGAATTTTCTCAAGCCATCGGCGAGGCATGAACTGACGACCTCAGGTAGTCAGTCCTTCAGGATTTGGCGGTTCAGCTCTTCACGCTTCTCGCGCAAATCTTCGATGGACTTCACTAGCTCATTGTTGTAATTCCTGGCAAGGAAGCGTGCTTTCCTCACTGTCGGTTTCAAGGGCAGCAGTGGATAGACTTTCCCTGACCACATGAACATGATTTGCAGAAATAAATGCATATATATATATATATAAAAATATATATATATATATATATATATATATAGTGTTTGGCACTCGCACTCGACAAGGCAGGCGAGGGTTAGGGAGGTCCACACATTTCGGACCACC